GAAGGAAGGAAGGAAGGAAGGAAGGAAGGAAGGAAGGAAGGAAGGGAATCTCATGGGTTGTCACAAAGAAGAGGGAGTCAAACTATTCTCCAAGGCACCCGAGTATAGAACAAGAAGCAATGGGTAGAAACTAATCAAGGAGAGAAGCAACTTAAAACTAAGGAATAATTTCCTGAGAACTAGGACAATTAATCAGTGGAACAACCTGCCTCCAGAAGTTGTGAATGCCCCAACACTGGAAGTCTTTAAGAAGAAGATGTTGGATAGCCATTTGTCTGAAACGGTATAAGATTTCCTGCCTAGGCCGGGGGTTGGACTAGAAGACCTCCAAGGTCCCTTCCAACTCTGCTATTGTATTGTATCGTATTGAAAAAGGGGGAAAAAGCCTCCCTGTTCACATGTCAGTATTTCTTCCCTAAATTCTAAATAGGAATTGCATTTACATTGCTAGTATCAGAAAGAACAAAAGGGATCTAACGAGTCAAATGTCCTTTTTCAACAGAGCTGCTTTTTATGCTTGAACTGCTAAAGAGACAGAAAAACTACAAGGTTTAGGTCACACCAGCAACTTCACACAAGCCGTTCCATCAAAATGGATCATGGTCTACACCAACAGTGCACAAAAGCATGAAAAAAACTGCACACACACACACACACATACACAGAGAGAGAGAGAGAGATCAGACCATCCAGGGTAAAGTCTTTTGCATTTGCAAATGCACACTCAAGTCTCCATTTTTATTTTTATTTATTTATTTTAAAAGGACAAGATATGGTAATCCAAAGAATGCAAGATAAAGGAAATAATACTAAAAACCAAACCAAAGGAATGACCAAAGGAAATGACTCTACAGCCAGCCCAAATCAGAACAGGCCAAGCAGAAATATTTTGAAGGGGAAAACAGCTGCCAATAATAGTACTATATTTTTTATGATGGGTTGCTGAGTTGAACTGCGATGCTGGGTTCTTTGTTCTATTGATTGAGAAGCTTTCAAAGTGCCTTTGAAGACAGACATGGTCCCTGCATGTGGAAAGCATCCTGAATCTCAGTATCAACAAAGCAACAAAGATGATTAGGGGACTGGAGGCTAAAACATATCAAGAACTGTTGCTCGAATTGGATAGGTCTAGTTTGTTGAAAAGAAGGACGAGGGGGTAACATGATAATACTGTTCCAATATCTAAAGAGCTTGTGGTGGCCTGTGAGCGGCCAGCAGAGCTGGCAGCAGAGTCAGACAGTGAGGAGGTTGGGGAGGAATAGAGCCAGTTCTAGGGGCTGAGGAAAGCTCAGATGAGGGCTCTGTGTCAGAGGCGGAGAGGGAGTTAGACAGCAGTGAGGCAGAGGAACAGCTGGAGCCTGTTCCCAGTGTGCGCACGTCCAGAGCTGAGACAAGAACAACTAAGAAAGCAGGGTCAACTTAAGAGTAAAGCCACACCTTGGAGGTGATTGGCCCCTTCAATAGGAAACAAAAGAGGAACAAACGGGGAATGGGCTTTTGCAGGAAACAATTTGTTCATTTGGTCGAGTCAAGAGTGGAATGTTTGTGTTTGTAAGAGACTCTGTATCAAGTTTTGCTTTGCCCTGTGTTTGGAAACTAGTTATCTCGCAGCGCTCCAAACGAGATAAGGTGTGTGTGGATAAACATTCCTCTGAAAGACTGTTTGCTAAGCCTTGCTGACTGTGAATGAAAGGAACCCACAGTTGTGTAAATGAAAGAGGTTTTTGTCAGGACCAAGACTTTGTTTCTTGCTTTCTAAGGAAGCCCGAGTCAGAACAGAGTTGCCATAAGAAGAGGGGGTCAATCTATTCTCCAAAGCACCTGAAGGCAGGACAAGAAGCAATGGATGGAAACTAATCAAGGAGAAAACCAACCTAAAACTAAGGAGAAATTTCCTGACAGTTAGAACAATTAATCAGGAGAACGACTTGCCTCCAGAAGTTGTGGATGCTCCAACAATGGGGAGTTTTTAAGAAGAGATTGAACAACCATTTGTCTGAAGTGGTGTAGGGTTTCCTGCTTGAGCAAAGAATTGGATTAGAAGATCTCCAATCTTACCAGTTTTGCTGTTGTGGGTCACTCATCTGAGATCCAGCTTCCCCACTGTAATTTTTACCAAAAATGTTCCAAACATTCATTTGTTTGTTTATTTGTGTGTTCGTTCGTTCGTTCATTCATTCATTTGTTAGATTTTTATCTTGCCTTTATTACTTTATAAGTAATTCAACATGGTGAACATGCCTATAATATTCTCCCTTCTATTTTCCCCACAACAACCCTGTAATGTAAATTGGGCTGAGAAAGAGTGGCAAGCCCAAAATCACCCAGGAAGACTAGAATTCACTGTCTCCTGGTTTCTAGGCCACTACACCAAAGTATCTGAATAATAGGAACTGGCTCTTTAATTGTCTTGTGTAAATCGCCCAAAATGAGCTTTTCTCTGCACAAAATAGTTCAGGCCCATACTTTTCTATTTCCTGCCCCAAATCCTTTTCATTTGAAAAATAAGTTAATTCCTGTATTCAGCAATGGACTCGTGTGACTTTTTCTACCTCTCTTCCCTATATTTTGTTTTAAAAAAATAACTTTTGTGTGTATTCTCTGATTGATAAACTTCTGATAAACATCAAAAGCTCAGGTTTCTTTCAGAATAAAGTCCAGATGTGCAGAAAATTCAAAGAAAGTAAATGGGTTGTGAATTGGTAGCTTACAAATTTAAGGATTGGATGGGTTTGGGTTTGGTTTTTTGGAGCACACACAGGGATGGAATCCTACTGGTTTAACAACCGGTTTGCTGAGCGGGTGCTTCGCTGCGTGCACATGCACAGTTTACAGAGAAATCACCTCCCACATTAACTCCTGGAAGGAAAACAGATGAGGTGCTGCAATTCACTGTACCGCGCCTATCAGCTGGGCTTCAGAAAAGGGAATATAGGTGAATGTAGCGCAGGGGCGGGCATGCAGGCAGGCCCAGCTGAAAGTCAGAGTGAACCGGTTCGCACCCAGCTGATAGTAAGAGCTACCGGTTTTCCCGAACCAGTAAAATCCCACCCCTGATCACACATATTATTCTCCTAATGTGATGTCACTAGGCGCCCATTGAATGTTCTTCAGTCTCCGATATTATAGCTTGATTTTTTTTTCTCTGAAGTTTAAATTTCACATTAAATTTATTTTTCTTGTTTCATTCTTTCAGGGAATACCGGAAACACGTTCAGGATTGAACCAATCCTAGGCATCATTACCGTGCTGAAAGAACCAGACCTGACCACCATGAACCAGTTTGTGCTATCAGTTAAAGCGTCCGACCAGGGTTCTCCCCCGTTGTCAGCTACTGCCATTGTCCGCATATCTGTGACGATGTCGGACAACTCCCACCCCAAATTCACGCACAAGGAATGGCAAGCTGAAATCAATGAAAATGTTGATTTTGGGACTTCGGTTATCCAAGTCTCGGCGATCAGTCAGTCTACATTAGTGTACGAAGTCAAAGATGGCAACGTAGATGGAGCCTTCATGATCAACCCTTATTCTGGAGTCATCACGAGCCAGAAGTCTCTTGATTATGAACACACTTCCTCTTACCAGCTCACAGTGCAAGCCACAAACATGGCAGGGATGGCATCAAATGCCACGGTAAACATCCAGATAGTGGATGAAAATGACAACCCACCTGTTTTTCTTTTTTCTCAGTACTTGGGCAGCATCAGTGAAGCCGCACCTGTCAATAGCATTGTCCGGAGTGTGGGAAACAATCCACTTGTAATACGAGCCACGGATGCTGATAGTAATCAAAACGCACTGCTCGTCTACCAGATTGTTGAGTCAACCGCCAAGAATTATTTTACGGTAGACTCTAGTACTGGTGCAATTAGAACGATTGCTGATTTGGATCACGAAACCATTGCTCATTTCTACTTCCACGTTCACGTTCGAGATAGTGGCAATCCGCAGCTTACTGCAGAAAGTCCTGTGGAAGTTACCATTGATGTAATGGATGTCAACGATAATCCTCCAGTTTTCAGCCAGGCAATGTTTGAAACCATCTTGCTTCTACCGACTTACGTGGGAGTGGAGGTTCTACAAGTCAAGGCCGTGGACCCAGATTTAGAAGTCCCGTCTGAACTGACTTACAGCCTGATTGAAGGGAACACAGAATATTTTCTCGTTGATTCAATTTCTGGGGTGTTAACCATAAAAAACAACAGCCTTTCCAAAGACCATTACATGCTGATCGTGAAAGTGTCCGATGGGAAATTTTACAGTAGTGCTATTGTGACAATAATGGTCAAGGAAGCCATGGACAGCGGTCTTCACTTCACTCAGAGCCATTATTCTACATCAATCTTGGAGAACAGTACCAACGTCACCAAGGTAGCAGTGGTCAGTGCGATTGGAAACCGTCTGAACGAGCCTTTGAAGTATAGCATATTAAACCCAGGGAACAAATTCAAGATCAAACCCACTTTAGGCCTTATTCAAACTGTTGGCCTCCCGTTTGACAGAGAAGAACAGGAATTATATGAATTGGTGGTGGAGGCTAGTCGTGAGCTGGACCATCTACGGGTGGCCAGAGTGGTTGTCCGAGTTCTCATTGAAGACATCAACGACAATGCTCCGGTATTTGTTGGTCTTCCATACTATGCTGCCGTTCAAGTTGAGGCTGATCCTGGCACTCTGATATACCGAGTGAGGGCCATTGATAAAGACAAGGGTGCAAATGGGGATGTGTCTTACCTATTGAAGGAGGACTACGGCCACTTTGAAATCGACAGTCATAGTGGGAGCATCACTTTGAAAGCGCCCTTTAACTCCGACTTATCCAATATAGAATATTTAATTATTGTCATAGCTAAAGACGGAGGGGACCCGTCACTGTCTGCTTCTGTGGAACTGCCCATCACCATTGTTAATAAGGCCATGCCCATCTTTGACAAGCCCTTCTACACAGCCTCTGTCAATGAAGACATAGACATGAACACCCCGATCCTGAGCATCAATGCTACCAGCCCAGAAGGTCAAGGTATCATTTACATCATAGTAGACGGGGACCCTTATAATCAGTTCAACATCGACTTTGACACAGGAGTCCTCAGTGTCATCAGTCCATTAGACTATGAACTCAATCCCATTTTCAAGTTGACGGTGAGAGCCAGTGATGCTCTTACTGGAGCCCGAGCTGAAGTTACGGTGGACTTGATTATCAAGGATGTCAATGACAATGCCCCAGTTTTTGACCATTTTGCTTATAACGCCACCTTAACCGAAGCCTCCTTGATTGGGACTCCTGTCTTGCAGGTCATTGCTACCGATGCCGATTCCGACAATAACAAAATCATTCAGTACCAGATAGTCCAGGACACTTTCAACAGCACGGATTATTTTCACATCGATGGGACAAGCGGACTGATCCTAACTGCCCGCTTGTTGGACCATGAACTGATGCAGCAGTGCAGCTTAAAAGTACGGGCCACTGATAATGGATTCCCACCTCTAAGCAGTGAAGTTCTAGTAAATATCTACGTGACAGATATGAATGACAACCCGCCTATTTTTAATCAGTTGATCTATGAATCTTACGTCAGTGAATTAGCTCCTCGGGGTCATTTTGTGACCTGCGTCCAAGCTTCCGATGCAGACAGCTCTGATTTTGACCGATTGGAATACAGTATCTTGTCTGGAAATGACCGTACCAGTTTTGTGATGGATACCAAGAGTGGCATCATCACACTGTCAAATCATCGGAAGCAGAGAATGGAATCAATGTACAGCTTGAACGTTTCGGTTTCTGATGGTTTGTTTACCAGCACTGCTCAAGTCCATATCAGGATTCTTGGTGCTAATTTGTACAGCCCCGTATTCACACAAAGTATTTATGTGGCAGAAGTCAGAGAAAACGCTGTCCCAGGAACTAGAGTGATCCACGTAAAAGCAACCGATGGAGATTCGGGCGTCTATGGTCAGATCAGTTACTCCATCATCAACGATTTTGCCAAAGACAGATTTGTCATTGACAACAAAGGGCAGATCCTCACCACGGAGAAACTCGATAGGGAGGTCCCTTTAGAAGGTGACATCACCATATTTTTAAGAGCTCTCGATGGTGGAGGGAGGAGCACGTTCTGCACGGTCCGAGTCATAGTGGTGGATGAGAACGACAACGCCCCACAGTTCATGACTGTGGAATATAGAGCAAGCGTCAAAGCAGATGTTGGGAAAGGCCACTTAGTCACCCAGGTCCAAGCTCTTGATCCTGATGATGGAGCCAATGCTAGGATTGTCTACTCCCTGTATAGTGAAGCCTCTGTTTCTGTTGCGGATCTCCTGGAAATTGACCCAGACAATGGATGGATGGTAACCAAGGGGAATTTCAACCAGCTGAAAAATACGGTGCTATCTTTTTTTGTCAAAGCCGTTGACGGTGGCATTCCTGTGCGACATTCCCTTATCCCTGTATACATACACGTTTTACCTCCAGAAACCATCCTGCCTTCGTTTTCTCAACCCCAGTATTCCTTTACAGTATCAGAAGATGCCCTCATAGGGAGCACAATTGATGCGCTCCACGTTTTGCCGAACCAAGGCGTCGCCTACAGCACAGTCAACGGCGATTTGACCGGAAACAACAAGGATGGAGTTTTTATTATAGAGCAAGACACTGGCATTATAAAACTGGACAAGAGGCTGGATCATGAGGCAGATCCCGCCTTTCATTTTAAAGTGGCTGCAACCTTACAGCTTGATAAAGTGGACATTGTGGTCACCGTGGATGTGGACATTAAAGTTCTAGACATCAACGACAACAAGCCTATTTTTGAGGCGGCCAAGTATGACACGATCGTAATGGAGGGAATGCCAATAGGGACTAAACTTGTACAAGTCAAAGCAACCGACGCAGATTCGGGAGCCAACGGTCAAGTCACCTATTCTCTCTTAACAGAATTAGATATTGACCGGATCTCGGAAGTGTTCACTATTGACAGCAACAGTGGCTGGATCAGCACCTTAAAAGATTTAGACCATGAGACGGATCCCACTTTTGCCTTCACGGTGGTTTCTTCTGACTTGGGAGAAGCCCTGTCCCTCTCCTCAACCACCTTAATCTCCGTCACTGTGACTGACATCAACGACAATGCTCCCGTATTCCAGCAGGAGATGTACAGGGGGTCTGTGAAAGAGAGCGACCCACCGGGAGAAGTCGTGGCTGTCCTTAGCACTCGGGATGAAGATACCTCTGACATCAACCACCAAATCAGCTACCATATTACAGGTAAGTTTTCTTTCAAAGCTAGTTGTTTCCCCTAAGAAAGTATTAAAATGCAAGTGTACAAGTTAAAAAAATGATACAAGTGGAATTAATATTAGAAATAAAATGTAATTATTTGTATGAAAATATAAAGTTGGGATTGCTGAAACGCCACCCCGAGAACCCATCAGAGAAAATAAATAAGCAAGGACAACAATGGAAAGGAGGGAGGATGAGGAGGGAAAGGAAGAAAGGGCAATGCAGAGGAAGGAAGGGAGGGGAATTAAGAGTAGTAGAGAGGGGGAGGGGGAGGGGAAGAAAGAAAGGAGGAAGGAGAGGAGGAAAGAAGAAAGCAGAGAAGGGAGGATGAGAATATGGAAGGAGCAAGGTTGTTGCAAAGTAAAATGAAGGCACGGGGTGCCAAGAAAGTGACGCAAACTGTATTATATATATATTTATAAAAATAATCATAGAGACTAATGATGAAAAGACAAATGTTAATAGCAATTATAAGAATATATATTTGTGAATGAATTTGAAAGGGAAAAATTTAAATTTTTTTTTTTAAAAAAAGCTACTTACTTCCCCCAAAATAAGACCTGGTCTTATTTTCTTTTGGGCCCCAAAATTAGCACCAGGACTTGTTTTGGGGGGGTGAGCAGGCATGGGGCAGCTCCACCCCCCACCACTCTAGCTTGATTTTTACGCATGCACCTCATACAACCACATGGTGGGCATGGTTTAACTAGCTAGATTAAGCCATTCTCAAAGGTCCAAGTTCTGGACCTAACCTGCAATCAGGACGCCACTTGCTTTGAGTCCCCAGTGTTTTATTAAGCCGGCTCTCGGCATACAGTGAATTCTGAAAAATGTAGGACTAAACTTTGTGCTGGGAGTCTCCGCCTCTCAGAGCTTTTTGAATGCTGGAGCTGTGCCCTTCCGCCTCCGGAGGAGCCCGTAGGCCCAATCAGCTGATTGTTGGGCTACCGGCAGAGTCAATCAACAGCCCATTTGGCCGGCTTGCAGGCAGTTACGATCCAGGCCGAATGCAGCCCAACCAACAATCAGCTGTTCGTCGGCATCGTGTTGCTTGCCACTGCGCTGCTGCTTCGGGGCCGGGATGCTGCTTGCAGATTTGGTGCTTGACAGCCATATTGTGTGAATTGCCTTCTCCCTTAATGCGATCTACTGGCCATTTGTTCTCCACCTTCCCCAGAGTGCAATTTAGCAGCTCTGAGAACTGGAGAGCTGCCATCACTAGCAACTTGATCCAGGTTCTGGATCAAGCTGGCTGAAAACTCAAGACCCCTGGGACCAGAGCTCAGATTCACAGATCCATTTTTCCCCCATCCCCTTGGGGTGTTTATTCGGTTTAACCTTTAAATTGTGAGCAAAGGAAAATGGAACATTAGCTTTTTAATTGGTTAGGTTTGTGCCATGCTACTATGGAAGGGGCTCTATTACCAATTATGATTGATGAGCAGGATTGTAACATTGCGCAAGGAAGCAGAGACAATGAAGAAATTTCTTCTTGGAGATTGGCTGAGGTCAGGGGAGGGTGGGTTTTAATTAAAAAACCCTTCTCTGAATTTCTAGATAGCGAAGATCAGTGAAATGCTCATTTCTTTTATTAAAAAACCCCAAACCGTCAGTGGGGAAAAAATGGATGCTTACTCCGAATGGATAAAATAATAATAGGAGTACCAAAGGTGTTTTTTCGAAAAGGCAACTGGACTTTGTTTTTTCCTTGAAGACATTTTACTCCTCATCCAAGGAGCTTCTTCGGTTCTGAACTGAAGAAATTCAGAACCGAAGAAGTTCCTTGCATGAGAAGCGAAATGTCTCCAAGGGAAAACGAAGTCCAGTTACCTTTTCAAAAAAACAACTTTGGGACAACAGAGACCTGGATGACTGAGAATCTCCATAGATAATAATAATAGTACCCTGTTTCTCTGAAAATAAGACCTCCCCGGATAATGAGCCCAATTGGGCTTTTGAGCGCATGCGCTAAAATAAGCCCTCCCCTTAAAATAAGCCCTCCCTGAAAATATTGCAACGCAGCAGCCATGAAGTGATCGCACTCACCTCCTCCTGCCCCTCAAAAATAATAAGGCTTCCCTGAAAATAAGGC